ATGACCAGGATGACCAGGATGACCAGGATGACCAGGATGACCAGGATGACCAGGATGACCAGGAGCCGGATGAAGGCCAAGAATCAGACAAGAACCAAGATTTCGAAGAGCATCGAGGGTCAGAAGAGAACCAACAGGTGGATGAAGGTCAGGGACGCGACAATCTCGCAGAAGCCGACACTGTGTCTTCAAATCCAACACTCGAAGCAGAAGGCTCCCAAAAGAATTGCTCCAAACGGCAAAAAGGCTCTCTGAGGATAGACGGTGGCTTATCAGGGTCGGAAATGCGCGATGAAAACTTGGGAAAGGACTCGAAGGACCAAGGGCCGGAACTCGATGACCCACGGCACCACCGAGACAGTTTTAACGAGGGATGCAACTCTCGGGTCAAGAATGGAAAGACTTTGGATACTTCCGTCGGAAATGGCAAGCCTGATGGGCAAGCGGTCACCAATCGTGCTGCTCTGAAATCAGAAGAAGGAAGTCAACGTGGAGAAGGAGATGATGAACAAAATCCTACTAAGGATCGTAATGAGGGAAAGCAAGTTACTGAACGTGCAGGAGACTCTCGTCGGAGGAATCGAAGTTGTGGATGGATTTTCGCCTGTTTGAATCCCAGGGGAGGCAAAGGATGGAGTCTGTCTGTTATATGTTGGACTACTGAAACGAGCAGCTAATACTGCTGCGAAATGACCCAGGTTTTGTCACGGACGGTATATTATCTGACCACGCCACAATGAACCCTAACAATTGGGTTCATTCCAGTACTCTTTTGCCCTGAAGAGGCCTGTGCTAACCGGCGTGGCGCAGTGGGTAAGGCCAGAAGCCTTACAGGTTTGGACAGTCTGGAGAGGGGGAAAGCAGGCTACGCCAAGGCCAAATAGATAGGTAATATAGGTAGAGAAGGGTTTTCCAAACAGTGTAGTGAGTGACTACCTAGAAAGAGGTACATAGCGAGACAGCACATGGTCCGTAAATACTACCCCTCAGCCAGAGGTGGCTGTCTCGTACTTTGCATGCTACTGTAACACGACGATACTATTGTAATTATGTGAAATTTCCGAGACTACTGGCGATCTAAAAAATCACTTTGAACATGATACTTGCTATGGTCAAAACTACCTAGCTTGACCATCTACTGTTGCGTGACTACCAGGTAACGACGGACGCATCTTGAACCTCGTACCTTGCCACCTTGGGCTTGGAATTCGGACATTGATTACTCAAAAGGTTCCCATTGGCTAAGATCCACTAAAGAGCTCTCTAAATAGCTAGATTTCCTAGCAATACGGTGAGTTCTACGTATCTCACCATCTACACCAGCAATTCCGAGCTTCTCAGCTTAAGTCCGAGGCACGATATCTCGTCTGAAAACACTGGAGGCCAAACATAACTTCGCAGGCTGAATGAAGGAAGTTTATAGATAGCACAGACTTAGTTTCAAGTCGAACGCTTAGGGTTTCGGGCCTCGATGCGCCGAACATGACAAAGATGATGCTGAAAGCCGAGACACGGGACAGCTTCTCCGATATGTCCGCGGACTCCCCTAGAACACATAGAAACCCCCCAATCAAGAGCTTTCACTTACGGGTTTGAGTTTCACGAAGCGAATGCAAGCGTTTTGAGAGGCTGAGGAGGCGCTCAAGCGCGTTCAGGAAGGCATAAGCGGGTAGCGGTGCGGTAGGGCAACGGCGAACATACGCGTCCAAACACCTCGCACCGGTCTGTGCAATGTCACGCCCCCGCAGCATTGGTGGATAGGGAAAACAGCTTACGCACTCACCGGCTGCGCTACTGCGCGCTTTACGAATCAGAGGGGTGCCATTGGGTGGTTGGAGGTGCACCGCCCAACGCCAAGCATCTCGACAATCTCGACCAAACGTCCTTGCGCTGGAACGAGGCGTCGGACACTCCACACTTTGAGCTAGACGTGAAGCCTCTTCCGTGTTTCTTGTATCTACATGACGTCGTCTACTCTGGGGGCGGAAGACATTCGTTTCTCTGGGAGTCAACTCAACGTATAGCATCTGCCGGTGATTTGCCGGAGAGTATCCTCATCTCTACCTATCTAGAGAGCAATTACAGAAAACAGCATTGGGTCCACATGGGCCAGAGATAATTGGACAATGCACACATGGACGGGATTTCCGAGTACTTGGCCGAAGCTTGGATAGGAAGGAAGCAGCATGCCAAGGACGTTGCTGGTCCGGCCCGAGTACACCCCTGCCACTTGTTGACGACGCCTTTTACGCAGCTGGATGCCCTAAAGGGGATACCTTAGAACGGCGAGGTCTGCGGCAAGAGTATATAGCTGGTGGATTTTCAGTTCTCATGTAGCCCAACATCGCACTCGTTCGCATTCCAACCTTATCCTTCCACTCCAGCCTTTCTTTCAAGATGGTCCAGATTACCAAGCTTACCAGCGCTGTCGTCGCTGCCGGTCTTTTCGCCTCGGCCGCCGCTCACCCCGGCGAGCACCACGACCACCACCACATCAAGCGTGAAATCTCTGCTCGCCATGTCCGCGCCGCTGCTGCCAAGCGTTCGCTCGACAACTGCAACTCGGCCGCGAAGCACCAAGCCCTGAACGCTCGCTCCTATGCTCGCCGTGCTCAGGTTGCCCACGAGCTTCGTGAGAAGCGTGGAATTGCCGAGAGTGAGTGTTGCTTCATTTCCTGCAGATTGTCTCAGATGCTGACAATCGACAGAGCCCCAGAAGTTCCGCCGTGACCTCGCTACGCTGGAGGAGTTCGAGGCGGTCAACCACAACATGACTGGCATCTACAACTACGACGAGAAGACCCCTGCCGGTGCCATCTTCGGCGCAAACACGTCCTGCATTCTGGCCCCCGAGGTCACTGACGGCCCTTAGTCAGTATTCCATATTAGTCCTTCCCCTGACGAGCAATCACTGACAGCCAGAAACAGCTACGTCGTTGGTGAGATGATTAGGAAGAACGTGAAGGAAGACAAGTACTCGGATGGTGTCGATCTGTACCTTGAGGTGCAGTACATCGACATTGAGACGTGCGAGCCTGTGCCGGGCGTGTACGTTGACATCTGGAACGCCAACGCTACGGGTGTTTACTCGGGTATTTACACCAGGTAAGTCAGACATGAAACTCGCTCTGAACGCGTTAACTCACAAAGACTATAGTGGCAACTACGCCGCCGATGGCCTGAACTCGACCTACCTCCGTGGTATTCAGGAGACTGACAAGGATGGTGTTGTCGCCTTCGAGACCATCTTCCCCGGTCACTACGATGGTGCGTAGTATCATCTGCACACGCATGATATGAATTAGCTAACGCCATGGATAGGCCGTGCCACGCACACCCACCTGCTGGCCCACATGAACGTGACGCGCTTCCCGAACAACACCATCTCGGACTCGAACAACATCACGCACATCGGCCAGCTCTTCTACAACGAGGAGCTGCGCAGCGCCGTCGAGGCGGTCTACCCGTACAACACCAACGAGCAGGCCATCACGACCAACGCCGACGACATGTGGGACATCGTCCAGGCCGACACCTACTACGACCCCTTCCCGGAGTACATCTACCTCGGCCCGGACGTCACCGACGGCCTGATGGCGTGGATCCAGATCGGCATCAACACGTCGGCCAACTACATCGACGACGACTACTACTCGGTCGCCGCCTACCTCCAGGCCGACGGCGGCCACGAGAACGCCGACAGCGCCACCGGCTTCGGCGGTGGTGGCGAGGGCGGCAACGGTACCATGACCGGTGCTATGCCGTCCGGTACTCCCCCTTCTTCTTAAATGCGATGCTTTTTCATGCAGGGCGTTGTTGTGAAGATATCAAAAGACTTGGAATCTGGCTTGGCGTTGTGGCCAAGCGGTTCTCTGGTAGAGCGTTTTCCACTTTTTGTTTTCTCTTTTTGCTGCAAAGATAGACGGAACGCATGTTATTATACAGGAGTAATCCACTGCTTCGATGACCCCTTCCAAGAGCTTTCCAAGTCTTTTGGCTCTTGGCCAAATCCCTTGCTGTGATGCTCACTGTGCTATTTTATACAAAGGAGAGAAGGATCCCACAACTGTCTTTTTCTTCTTTGTTGCTCTTTCATACTCTGAGGATGAAACCGGCGCCACACCAAACACAATGGCCGTGCAAGATCTCTGGGAACGCCATGTACACAACTCACAGTTTTGGATGGTCCACAAGATGGTTCCGCGACAGGGTATGAAGTACCCAGTGCTCACACTGCTCTTAATATGGGCGTTTCTGGTATTCATGTTCTTCACGGTCCGGTCGACAACGTTCCTGTGCGTCCCCAGTCCCCTCTCATCCTCACGGACTTCCTTCACGATGTCTCGAAAAAAGGGAAAGGGGAAAAGCTAACCGGTGTCATGCAAACCTCTCTCAGCACTCGTAGCGGATCGCCAGCAGAGTCCGAGTCTCAAGCCGCCGCCCACAGCAGCAGCAGCATATGGGAGCAAAACCCGGAGCTGTGCCGCAACCCGGAGCACCAATTCCTGCACGACGAGTCCGACTACAACGCCGCGCTCGCCACCGCCTCGCCCGCACGCATCGCCAAAGTGTCCATCCTCTACGGCGACCCGAACCCGACGTACGAACGCGCGCTGCGCACGCACGAGCTGCACAACCGCATCCACGGCGTGCGCGGCTACGTGATGCGCGACCAGGTCCTCGACGGCGTGTGGAACAAGCCGGCATACATCCTCTCCATCCTCGCCGAAGAACTCCAAAAACCTCCGGAGACGCGGCTGGAGTGGCTGCTCTGGGTCGACGGCGACACCATCGTGCTGAACCCGTGCGTGCCGCCAGCCAAGTTCCTGCCACCGACGCCGGACGTGCACGTCGTCGTGGCCAACGACGGCAACGGGCTCAACAACGGCATCTTCCTGCTGCGCGTCAACAGCTGGGCGCTCGAGCTGTTCGCGGGCGTCGTGGGCTTCCGGCACCTGCTCCCCGGCGAGGAGCTGCGCTTCAACGACCAGAGCGCCATGGAGCGGCTGCTGCACGAGGACAAGTTCCGCCGCAACGTCGCCTACGTGCCGCAGCGCTGGTTCAACGCCTACCACGCCTTCCAGAACGAGACGCTCGGCCCCGAGCGCGTGCGCCGCGGAGACTTCCTCATACACTTCGCCGGCCGTGGTAATCGCAACGAGGAGATGCAGTACTGGCTCGATATCGCCGAGCACCACCGGCCCGACTGGGAGCTAGCTTTCTACAAGACCGCTTATCCTGAGGAGATTGTCGACTATTGGAATGCGTGGTTGAATGACAGGAATTCCGGGACTGACTCGGAAAAGAAAGAGGGCGGAGAATGAAGCAATCCGGTGATCTCTTCTTCTTTATTTTCTTTTCCTTTTGCATCTCTTTGTTCTGTCATCGATTAAAATGAGAAGGGAATGTGGTCAGTTCTTGTCAGGGGCGGGTCTTATCCTGGAGAGGGTTGGTCGAAGCAAGGGCGTATCGGAAGTGATAGCGAAACAAAATTTCTAAGCACAGGTGCAGTCAATCAATTAACTTCTGTCGAGTAAGCGCAACTTCGCATAGTAGTAGTGGTATTGGTTTGGGAAATTCTGCTCGAACCCGCTCTTTGCGTCGTCCAATGAGGAGTGAAGAAAGTAGAACTTCCAAATACAACATTGGAGACCAGATCGCTTTCCATGTGGGGGAGACTCCGAATCATAATACTGCTGATCATAAAGACGCCGTCCATTGGAAGAGGAAGAGATCGTGGGTCGGCTTCATGCGATCTTCAGACGTCGGCCTATAGTGACGTGTCCTAAGCTTTCCCTCGAATCAAGTACATTCAACGTCGGTGTGACCAAAAAGTACGACACTTCGACACCTCCCCGCCGCCGAAGGAAAGCTCCGGACGCATCCTATCGCGCCTATCTCTTTCCATCCCTAGCCAAGGGACTGGGCGAAGGGGGAAGACGCCGTGATCTCAGTTTCATGAATATCCCACAGCCTGGCAGGATCCTTGACAAGTGGCGACACAAGTGGAGCAGCAAACACGTGGCAAGGACAGATTTACCATCCCTTCAACATGGAGACGGGGCGACAGCAGTGGAGAGAAGGCCGCCCTCCGTACTCCTTTGCTCTTGCCGTACAATGCGGTCGGTCCGGTGCCCGGGTCCCCACACTACGGAGTCTGTGGTGCAGACATTTAGGATTGCCGCCGCCGCCGCCATGCCAAGTCGGTGCTTCCGTCTAGGAAAAATCCAATGGAAATGCCGATGCATATTGCTTTTTCTTAAGGTTATTTTTGCTCCCGTAGTGGCAAGATGACGTCGTTCGAGCATCCGGTCCTTACTTTTTTCGGGTGGCGTTTGTAAGCGACGGAATCCCTCTTCATCGCAGCCGATATGCAGTACGGTCTCAAACCAGCGGTCAACATCGAACTGAAGCAGCGAGATATTCAGACGATGTGTAGATCAGGAGTTTGTTGTGGCCGCATCTCTGCGTATCCCAAGCGGTGAGGGTGGTGAGAAAAGCGCTAAAAGTCCGGGTTGACTTCCTGTCATGGGTACGAGCAAGCTAGAGTGCGGCGCGCAATCTATCACGATCGCTCTGACCCACATCGCCGCGAAGCCATCCACCGGACCTCCGGAACCATGTACATCCACCTCTATTCATCCGAGAGGCTAGTGTTGCGTCGAAGTGTCCTAGTTGGCAGACAGTCGATTACCCTCCGGTAATGGAAGAGACGCCGATGCTACCTCAAGACTATGACCTCCAGGACCAGATCGGCGTGTCATTCAGTCCGCGGACCTTTCTCCAATTCGTTTCTTGCCGTGGCATTTCCCGAAAGGAGACCAGAAAGGAAGGTAGTCGTATCCGTGCCACAAGGAGGCTTGTGCATTGTGTTGGCCTTGGTTCCGTGGCATCAGGCTCCTTCAGGATTAAGACAGTAATCATGCCCAGTATTAATACGAATCGAAGCCTGCGTTAGCTCGTAAAGATGCTACTGACCGCCAGACCGACACGTGTCATAGCATTGTATTAGCGCCACAAGAAAAGAGACTGCCCTGTGTCAGCAGAAAACCATAAACATTATCCCGTGGTATCTCAAATAAGCTTAAAGTAACCCGTGCAAAGTCCGTCCCTCGTAAACACCCCAGCCGGATCTATCCTTCTCTGAATCTCTTTTAGCCTCTCTACGTTCTGCTCGTCGTACCCAGAAAAGACGTCGTCACGTTCCGAGTCTCCGTAGTTCATGTAGATGTACTTGTGGAAAACGCCCAGCTCCTTGGCTGATGCTGCCGACTTCGCAAGAAACCGCTCGCGGGAAGCGTAGATGTCGGCGTCTTCTTTCGGGTTGGTCCAGCTCGTTGCCACGTTGGCGACTGCACGTCAGTAAGTAAAGGTTCAGCCTTTCAAGGAAAGGGCGCGTGACATACGTGTTAGCGGGCTGTTTGACTCCAGCCCGATCGCATTTCCTCCGCGCACCTTCATGTTGTTGATGGAGGACAACGGAATGGGCTGGAAGGTCAAAGCCGGAGTGACGGTGTTGCAGGTCGTCTTCAAATAATCGATTTCCTCCTGGAAGTACTGGATCATGCGTCTTTCCTGCTCCTTTGATGGGTAAAAGGTCATTGATGCCATGTAATTGCTTTGATTTCTCGGTCAGTACACTGCTGTCTTGAACAGGCTGGCCGTACGTACCGCTTGTTGGATGGTGTTCCGTGTTTCAATTCCATGCTGAAGTCGCTCATGACCGACGTGCGCATCGTATTTCCCAGGGGTTCCACCTTATCGAAGGTGCTGTACACAGTGGGGTTCTCGACGGGTTTGGCGTACATTTCCTGGGAGAGGGCCAAGGTCGTGTTCTTGTCGGCCATGTAAATATAGCCAATCCAGTAGCCGATGTCCGGGTCGGTGCTGAAGGTGAGCTCGTAAGAAGCATCGATCAAGGCATCCATCTTGTCCGTAGTGTAAAACTTCTGGCCGCCATAAATTTTGCCCAGGGGAACCGTGTTGAGGGTGAAACGGGTGACGATGCCGAAGTTGTTGCCGCCGCCGCGCAGGGCAAAGTACAGATCAGGGTGGGAGTGCTCGCTGGCGGTCACGATGGTAGTGTTGGGCAGGACGACTTCGTATTCCAGAATGTTGTCCAGGGCCCAGCCGTACCTCGCAGAAAGAAAACTGACACCTCCTCCCAGCAAAAGACCGCCTACGCCAACGTCATCAACCCTTCCGCCAATGACGGAGAGCTCGTAGGGCTCCAAGATGCGGTAGACGTCGCCCCAGATGGCACCGGTGCCGACGCGGGTCTGGGTCTTGTCGGCAGAAAGTTCAACCTGGTTGATGCGCTTCAAGTCGATGGTGACGCCACCGACCGAGTTGGAGGCATCCCTGCTGGACGTGTGGCCGCCACTCTTGACGGCGAAGTTACACCAGGTGCCGACCAGGACGCCGAGGACATGCGAGAGGTCCTGGGTGGTGGTGGGCTCGATGCGACAGGCCCTATTGGAGCTCATCTGCTTGGCATCCCAGACGGTAAAGTTTCCGTCGGCGTTGGGATAATGCAGCTGGGGGCCGAAGAGGCTGGCCAGAGTAGCACACTGCGATGATCAGAGACTGGGAGCTTAAGCATAATTACGGAATAGGCAAGAGATTACCGCTACGTCGCAGCCGCCATGGCTCGCATCGCGGACCGAGGGGATGGCGAAGAGCTGGGCGTGGGCGGCATTGGCGAGGAGAGACAGAAGAAGAAGCGGTAGCACGAGGAGCGACGGACAGGCAAGGGCGGTTGAGATGGCAGCCATGACGGCCGTCGCCACGCAGCAGGCGGTGCTATTGGGAGCAGCGAGGAGAATCTGGGCGGAACAGCGAGAACCAGGACCAGGAAGACATCAAATAACGGGAGTAAGCACGCCAAGGCGGCAACTTGCGGCGCTGCAAGCGGCTCTAGTGAGTTGAGTTGGGGAAGAGCCGGGCAGGTGGTTGCGCGCCGGGGCCGGAAACGCTCTCGGGCTACGCGCCATCCGGGTTTCGGGTGTCGGGGGGCATGGTGGCCGGCGCGACGGCGTCGTGGCCGCTGAGGTTGACTCTGCGTGCGTGGTGGGCTCGAAGGGCTGAAGGCAAAAGGAGAATTCCGGTCGGAGATGAGTGAGGCGGTACCCGTGCCCGACTGGTGCAAGCTCCCGCCGGTGATCACGCCAGGGTTTCGCCCACTGCCAAAACAGCTCCAACACTGCCAGCTTAGGCAAGGCCAGCGCAGCCCCGGGCGCAAATCGACGCACGCGCTGCGCACTTCCATGCGTGCCTGAGGCGGCCTCTGCGGCGCCGCGCTGCGCTGCTCAAGCTGCTCTGCGCTGCTCTGCGCTGCGCTGCGCTACGCATCCTCAGCCGCAAGGTTCCGCGGCCATCCCCGCAATCCAGGCCTCCCTCACAGCGCATCCGCCCGCTAGTCGCCGCCTACAAACAGCACGCGTCCGCCAGCTCATCGCATCCAGGCACGCCCGCTCGCCCTGGACCGCCAGTAAGCGACCTGTTATCTATATTTCGACCTGCCCGCGCACGTTACATCGCTTCGGCTCCGCGCCGCATCACCTGTCAATCTCCCGGCCATTGAACCGTCAATCCCCAGCCCGGCGCACTGGTTCACCTGCCCCTCATTGACCATCCAGTCTTGGCTCTGCTCCCCCAAAAAAGACCACCTGCATGATCAGCCTCGTGTCGTGGATTGACGAACTGACAATCTGAAACAAGCATCCAACGAGCCCGTACGGCTTTTCGCGAACGCACTGCCGCAGGCAAAAGAAGACAGATTTACCGGGATCCCCGAAGCGTGGCGGCAGTTTCCACCGGACGACTTACGTGGACCGCTGCACGACTCTTGGTACCGCACCAAAAAAATTTTGAAAGATCTTGAACGATGCATGACCGTCAATCTCGATCCGTTCCTGACGCGTTTCTTGATGCACGCGGGGTGCATCGAGACGGTGCACGCTCTTTCCTGCACACAATCGCATCCCTCCCCCGGCGTCAGCCCATCTTTATCTCCGTGCTGCAACGATACGGGGCACGGCAGCTTATCGATCGGTCGTAAATCCGACCGCCCTCCACCTACGCCGCCTTACGGAAATATGAATCGCCTGCTTCTCGCCGTTCCCCGGCACCTTCCGTGGAAACCACTTGCCGGCCAGACTCCAGCCCTCCACTAACACACGCGCCCTGATCTTTAGCTCTTGCTTGCGGCCGAACACCGCGTTGCTTATTTAAAACTGGGCCTCTGTGAGGGTCCTCTGGCTCCACAAGTCCATAATAACGGTCTGTATGATCGACAAATTGCGCCAGTGTCCCTCGGCCTTTGAAGACCGCCCAACGTCATAGCGAATCGCATGTGAACCGCGCAGTAAGTGCTTCTTCCAGGCATTGGCCCGACCAGGCAGCAGCAATTCCATCCGATACAGCAACCTTCGCGAACCATCGCAATTCTTCTCCTCGCAATTGCTCACCGCATGACCAACAAGCCCTGGAGATCCTCCCTCCTCTTGCAAATCCCCACCTCTCTCTCGGACCGAGAGCGAGACTACCCGCGTACTCGCTTGCGTTACGCCGCTGCTACAGGGCTGTTGCAAACACAGCCACCACTCGACCTGGTCACACCATTCCCTCAGCAAGGAGTGCATTGAATATTCACCTTCGTTAAAACAAAAGAAAGGTCGCTTACGTGTGCGCGCCGCTTACAAGACAGCGGCAGTCTGACCACTGGAAGCCCCCCCGTGATTTGTTGTTGTTTGATCAGCGCTCACAGCCTGATATCAGGACGCCCGTTTTCCCGTACGGCATCCAGCCTCTACATGCTTAGGCTATCAGGCTCAAGCGAAGAAAGGCCTCGCCTCGACGATAATGCTTTTGACAAATACATGCTGTCACTTTGAAGCAGATTGCTCGTCGCTGGGCTCGTCAATGCAATCCACCTGTTGTAAGCCAATGCGCCGCTTTGACCCTTTTCCGGTGAGCCAAACGTACCACGTCTTTTGGATGCTTACGTACGTGGTGAGTGAGACACTGCCATTGGCTGCCCGGTTGGAGTATGGTATCCATAGCGTGATTCGTGGCTGCAGTCTGATGCTTCACTTCCATGTCAATATCATCCGACTTCACCAATCCTGATACTGAATCTGAAATAAAAATCCCTATGATCAAAGTACGAGAGAACAGTTCCAGCCCCAGCTCCAGCAACGTAAAGTCAAAGAATGATACAATTAGGCTAAAGAAAGCCGGTGAGATTTTTCCGCCAGAGCCACCCAAGGAGACAAACGACAATCCCATGACCTTTTTTCAAATCCGACGGACTTCAAAACTGCGGGTCAGTAGAGAACGTGGTGTTACACCCTCACCGCCCGCTCTCCCAGTCAACCAACCCCCAAGACTTCAACGATATCAAAAATCATACCCATCCTTCCCGTACTTGTTGTACTTCTCATGGAGCTCCTGAAATCAAATGCCTGCATTAGCATCTGTCTCTAAACTCAACCCCTTTATGCAAAAAAGGGATTCAAAGCTAGCGTTATTCCTCTCATGACTCACCTTTGGCAAGTTGACCTTCGGCAGGACTGCGACGTTCAGCGCCGTCGGGGCCTCCCTGGGCGCATTGTGCGGGTCGCCGCCCGGATAGTACATGTACTTGCCGTGGGCGCCCTCCGTCCGCCAAGGCTCCGAGCCAGGCACGGCAGGGACGGGGCGGGCGTCACTGGATGTGGTCGGGTTGCCAGCTAAGCAATGACTTGGAGTCAGCAAAAGGGCACGCGGGAGGAAGTTTACGTGGACGTGAAAAAAAAAAAAAGGAGAAATGTTTTTTTTTCAGCTTTTCTTCTCCTGTAGAACAAGGGGTAGCTTCATTGAAATTGCAATCCTGCTGTGTGCGTGCCTGTGTATACATTTGCACGTGAGAGGGAAGGAGAGGGGACGACGGGACATGCGTACCGACAAAGTACCCAAAGACGCCCACGGCGCCGAGGGTGACGGCCAAGATGCCGTACAGCTCCGGATCGAGCTTCGCGAAGCGTGTGAAGAGGTCCTTCGCCGGCGGGTTGGCCTGGGTCGACTCTTTGCGGAGGGCGGCGGGTGGAGTGGTGGTGGTGCCAGGTCGAATGCGGGGAAGCACCGGGCGGCGCGCAGCTCGCGCGGCGGCGGTTCGCGTGAGGACGGGCAGCATTGTGACGAACGAAACGGATCTTTGACAATTTCGGGGGCGACGCGAAGGGTATATTGCTTGATGATTGAAGTTGTAGCGCGTTTCGACGGAACGTGTGAAGGTTCGGTGGTGATACACAGCGGCGGCCGATCGAATAGGTGGTACAGGATTGACTATCCGCTAAGGGCACAAGGATCTAAGTTTATGCGACCGACGTCATACATCAAGGTTACTTGCGGGAGCCTGCTGGCTGCGGGGTTCGCTGAGTTTCGATAGCGAACGACTTGGTTCCAGATCCTATACTATGGACACAATGGGCAGGGAGTCTACTCGGCCGGAGTATACGCACCGCAGCCAAACTAAGTGTACCGGAAGGGTACAAGATGCTGTCCTCGCGGATTTAGTTTGGATTCAAGGATAGCCCAAGATGCGGACGAAGGTCGATGTTTCTATGTACGCTGGAACATCACCTTGAATCCAACAAAACCCGCACGGCACGTCACAATTCCAAAGTAGGAATTAAGAATAACTCTCTTGAGTCATTTTACATGATCCAGAGGGTCCAGAGTCCAGGGCCGTGGCATGGCCAGAACAAATTCCTTTCATGGAGCTCCGTGCATGTTGACACTCTCTTGAGTGCACTTCGAGCAGAGGCACGGCCCCTCAAACCAGGGCCAGAGGATTTGTTGTCTTTCCCTGAGCGGAACTCCTTCAACGTCGACATAGCTATCGAAAAGCTCCTCGCCTTCCTGAATGCGTCTTCTGGCAAAGAAGCGCACGGTCGTCGTATCATCATGCCAGCACTCGATGTTCGGATCGCAGCTGTGATTGAAAAAAGGCATTAGAGGCGAGATGGAATCAATCCAGCCTCCCCCATTCTCCGGTCCTCTCGAAAATCCCTGTTTGTTGTTGGCAAGGCGGGTCCAGATGGTATGGATCATCCAGGTATCGAAGTTCATGTTGGCAAACACATCCACGCCCAGCTGCTGGAGAATCTGAATTGGACGTATTACCGATTCAGTCAGGGTGAATACATCTAGGTGACGACCGCTTAGCTGTGGCTGTAACCGTGCAATCAGCGGATGATCAAGAGGGCTCAAGGCCGGGCCCGCTTGTACGCAGGCAGCGAGATATCGAGATAGTAGCAGCGGCCGCATGACAGAAGCACTCTCTGAGATTCCTGACACGGTATCTCGGAGCCAGGTGAAATCCTTGCCGCAAACGACGCTATGATAGGTTGAAAGTGCAACTTTGTAGCAGGACTCGGAGCAAAAGAGGGCGAGACAGCAGGACGCTTCATATTGTGCGCCTGTGATGTTTTGGAAACAGTTGGCGCAACCAGAGGCAGAGCTACAAGCTGCAGTGGCTGTTCGGTCAACTAGTATGCATTCGCCGGGGTCGATCTCCTGTGTTGCAAAGACACCCAGGACTTGAGGGGTGCGATTGGCCCACTTTGGGATGGGAGCTTTTCCAAGGGAGCTGTAACCCAGGCGACAGCTGTTAGAACGTTCTTGGAACTCTTTGTTGACGCTGTCAATCAATGCCTGTGACCTCTGAAGCGGAAGAGGGTCCATCCAGGGATAAGGAATAGTCAGTACTGCACCATCATACAGCATGTCTCTTTGCTTTGGTGCAGATGCACTGCTCATTGCTACGTGATGCGATTTCTTTGCCATGACGTTGGCGAGTTCGGCAGCTCGCATTCGGAAAAATGGATCATCGGGGAATCTCGATTCGGCCACTTGGCAGATTTCCAAAGCCTCGGGATGGCAGTGGCAGTCATAGAGGGCCTGAATGAGAGTGCAGTACAATACGCGTTCGGCGGGAAGTGGTTGGTTGGACTGTTCAGCGTCCATTTTCGTGGAGATGGCTCCGGTTGGTGGGGATAGGCGCGACAAGTCAGGGATGCGGCCATTGGGGTAATGGCAGAGGAGCAGGGCTCTGTATGCATCTCCGACAGCCAGTTCAGGGTAGCCTAGGGCAAGAAGATGGTCGGCCCGGTCGGAGCGGATGGCAGGGTCGTAAGGGGCATGAGTCAATTTTTCGGTAAGGTATTGAACGTGGCGGATATGGCCAGGAACAAGCTGCTGATTCGTTAGCGGGGTGCACACAAGCCGGACGGGAGCAGGATGGGATCACCTGGGGAGGGGGTGGGGGAGTTTGTGCCGGGCTAGTGCGATATATAGTCGGGCTCCAAGCGTCGGATGTCCACGAGCGCTGCATAGTGGCGCAGCCGATTTGTGGGCTTGGGAGACGGTGGATGGAGACCGCGCATCCCGTCTCCATCGGCCACCATTTCCTCGCGTGCGCACGCGGCAGCAGTCACGTTACGTCATCGCCAGACGCGCCTGCACGCGTCGACCTGCAGCTGTGGGTATGCAGACCTCCTCATTCAAGCATGTCCTTGGAAGCCACAGGAGAGAGGGGGTTTCGAGCTTCAAAAATCACCAGGTGCCTTGTCAATTTTCTACCCCGCCATCGTCACGGCTGAAAATACAGCAGCTAAACACTGGTTGTGTCACCCAAACTGTGCGAGTCGACGGCCAGAGAGCTTGAGTTAAGGACGACAAGTTGTAGCGGGCCGCAGCGGCATGTGGAGCCCTGCGTCTAGCGCTCCCTCGTTGAGTCCAGCAAAAAGCTTGTTTCACACTGACACTCGGCGCATTCCAGGGTCCCTTCCCTCCTTCCTTCCTCAACCAGAACGCTCGTGTATCCCAAGTGTCACCGGGTGTCTCGCGTGCTGCGAACCCAGTCTGCGAAATCCCAGGTGGCGGGTACACCATCTGGAGGTCGGGGCTCTCATACGTGCTCCCGTACCACGGCAGGCTAGCACGCAATCGTTGGCGTGCCTTCGCAATCACATAAGCCCATGGCGATATCTACCCTCGCTGCCGCGCCAACCCGAGACCCTCATCGTCATGCGCAGCACCCATTTCGCGTTTGTAATCATGCGGTACACGGCCTTGCTGGTCCATATCTCCCAACCTTCCGCCATGCTTCTAACCGCCAGGCTCCCTCCCCCTCCTCTCTTCGATGAGCAGGTTGGTGCAGCACACTCATAGCACGCTTGCCTAAAAATATCTCATTCCAGCTACCATGTCGGTCCGCACAGCGCTCAAGAATTCAAAGTCCTTCCACGAGAACTATGGCACCGTCGGAGAGACATCTTCTTCCGAAGAGTCAGTGGTGGAAATCGATGCCAACGACGGCACGCCTACCGCTGGAGAGCTTGCTCTTGAAGAATCAGCAGCAGGAGGACTAGGACGTCATCTGGGCCTGTTCTCCACAACCTTCCTGATGCACGTCCCCCATGCAGCTCCCCTCGTCCTCCTCGAAGCTAACTTTATTTCGTCCACAGCATCGGCAGGATAATCGGAACTGGCATTTTCTCCACGCCGTCTTCCATCACCGACAGCGTAGGAAGTGTCGGCGCGGCGCTCTTGCTATGGGTTTTCGGGTTGGCGCTATCGTTCGCCGGCCTGTTCATCTGGCTGGAGTTGGGATGCATGATCCCCCGTAGCGGAGGTTCGAAGGTCTACCTCGAAGCTGCCTATAAGCGACCAAAGCTGCTTGCCACTGTCGTTTTCGCGTTCCAGGCCGTCCTGCTTGGATTCACAGGTATGCAGTGTTCCCCTTAAAAAAATGTCTTGAGTGCTAACTTGGAGTAAAGCATCCGGCTGTATCATATTTGCCTCCAACATCCTCGTCGCCACCGGGCACACGGCCACGGAATGGCAGAAGCGCAGCATCGCCCTTGGCGTCATCACCTTTGTGACGGTGCTGCACACCTTTCTGCCCAAGCTCGGCGTGCGCGGCATGAACTTCATCGGGCTGATCAAGATCTTCACCCTCCTCTTCATCGTCATCACGGGCTGGGTCGTGCTGTCCGGCGGCGCGCCGCGCGTGTCCGACCCGCACGCCTCCTTCCGGCACGCCTTCGAGGGCAGCGCGACGAGCGGCAACCTGTACGCGACGGCGCTCTTCAAAGTCCTCAACTCCTATGCAGGCTGGTCCAACGCGGCCAACGTCCTCAACGAAGTCCGCAACCCCGTCCGCACGCTCAAAATCGCCGGCCCGCTCGGCCTCTCAGCCTGCGGCATCCTCTACCTCCTCGCCAACGTCTCCTACTTCGCCGCAGCAACACCAGCCGAGATCTCGCACAGCGGCGTCACCGTCGCGTCGTTCTTCATGTCCAAAGTCTTCGGCGCCGCCGCCGCACGAGCGCTGAGCGTGCTAGTCGCCCTATCAGCGCTAGGCAACGTCATGACCGTAACGTTCGCGCAGTCGCGTGTGAACCAGGAACTGGCCAAGGAAGGCGTGCTGCCGTACGCATCCTTCTGGGCGTCGTCGTGGCCGCTGGGCTCGCCCGGCGCGGGCCTGCTGCTGCACTTCGTGCCCTCGTTCCTCGTCATCGTCGCCGTGCCCTTCGGCGACGCCTACGCCTTCATCCTCGACGTCGAGGGCTACCCCGGCAGCGTCATGAACTTCCTCGTCGTCCTCGCCTTCTTCTGGCTGCGCTACGCCGCCCCCCGCGCCCACCGCCCCTTCCGCTGCTGGTGGCCTGTCGCTGTGTTCTACCTCGCCGCCCAGTGCTTCTTGCTCGTCGCGCCGTTCTTGCGGCCGCCTGGTGGCAAGGGCGATACTAGTTTGCCGTACTGGCTGTATCCGATCGTGGGCATTGCGGTGCTGCTGGGCGGCGTGCTGTATTGGGCTGTGTGGTGGAAGATCTTGCCGTGGAAGGGGAAGTATACCCTGGTTCCTGAGCACGAGAGACTTGCTGATGGGACGAGGGTTGTTGTGTATAAGAAGGTGCGGAAGGAGTAGTTGATTGCTTTTTCTGGGCTCTATGGTTCATAAACGGAATGCTGTAGACTTTGAGACTGTCACGATGTATGAAAGCGATAGCTTTTTTTGTTCCCGAATGCTTTTAAAAGGCTTGAAGTGGTGTCACCCCTGATGATGAGATGGGCCCCTAAAATCTCATTCAGCCCTCAATTCGCTTTCCAAATTTCTCACTCATGCCTTCGCTGCCCTTATACAGAGCTTCCATCCGAGTCACGACCCAATCTCACCACACAATGATGGGTTTCACCACACTACCGCTACCCATGACATTGACAGCGCTCTCGAAATCCGCAATGTCAAAGAACTGCACCAGCTTCTCCACCGGAAAGACGCCGTCCCGCCACCACTTGATCATCTGCGGGATGTACTCGGCGGGGCGGCTGTGGCCCTGGACAGCGCCGAAGTACTGCTTGCCGCTGACCATGAAGCTCTGCATGTGGATGGACAAGTGGGCGTCGGGCATGCCAGTGCCGACCTGGATGACCTTGCCCATGTAGCGCGTGAAGTCGATCTGGGCGGCGACGAGCGGCGGGTGCGCGCTGGTGTCGATCGAGACGGTCGCACCGTGGCCGTCGCTCGAGGCGGCGCGTACGGCGGCGACCAGGTCCGCGTTGGAGGTAAAGGTGCTGGTGTTGATGACGTGCGTTGCGCCGAGCGACTTCGCCAGGTCCAGCCGCGACTGCACGCGGTCTATGCCGATGATGTTCTTGCAGCCTTGGTTCTTCGCGGCCTGAATACATCTCCTTGTAAGAATAAAGTATAGGCAAGTACGAGGCTGGTACCAATGGCCTACTACTTACCATTACAGCCGCTAGCCCCACGCCGCCCATGCCCACCACCGCAACCTCATCGTCCTTTCCGCATTTTGCGACGTTCACGATCGTCCCGCTGCCCGTCTGCAAGCCGCATCCCAGCGGCGCCAGGAGCTTCAGGTCGTCACGCTCGAGGCCCAGACCGGCTACATTCACAACGCACTTGTCGCTGACGACCGTGTGTTTGGCGAAGCTAGACTGCCCGAAGAAGCGGCCGCCGATAGTCGGGTTTCCCTGCTGTTGTCCTTCCCCGCCTTCCTTGCCACCAGCATTATCAGAGAAGACGGGCTCGCCCATAAAGTTGATTTCGAAGAAGGTCTTGCAGTGCGACGGCGGACCGGTGCGGCAGACATGGCATGTGCCGCAGTAGGAGAAGGATAGCAGTACCGGGTCGCCCGGCGCGACGCCTGTCACGGCGCTGCCAACGCGACGCACGTAGCCGGAGCCTGTTTCGTCGTTGTAGCTCGCGTCAGTAGTGGGGCATTGGTCGACGACCGGACACGAACGACGGTTCCGGTCTTGTTCAGACTTGGAATTGGCGGTTCACCACACCTTCGTGTCCCAGGACTCGTGGGTAGTAGACGGCGGGCACGCCCTTGTCGTCTGGCGTGTTGCCGCAGTGCAGGTCCGTGTGGCAGATGCCCGATGCGACGATTTCGACGACGACCTCGTCGGGCTTAAGCGCGCGGAGCGTCACGTCCTCGACGGCCCATTTGCCTTGGGAGAAGGGGCCGCGGGAAACGAGAGCCTGGGTGGTGATGGGCGAGGTATCGTCGACAGCTGCCATGGCGAGGTACGGCGCGGAAGTGGGGCAGGATGACGGCGGAATGCTCTCAATGAGCTGTGCGAGCAATGGAGAAATGGCGTCTCAAGGCGGTTCCTGATGTATGGCGTGCAGGAGCAGGAAGCGATCCATAGTCGGCAGTCTTATCCAGCAATTGTCGGCGTTGGCCGCTAGATATCCTATCAATGGGCGGGGAGACGCGGGGCATGCAAGGCGCGCGCCGCCGGCTTCAGCAAAGAACGGAAGGAGCTCTACTGCCCAGCGCCAAGACGCTATTTATGGACCCTGGCATCGGCGCTAATATGCGCACACAGCTTCTACAGCTTATACTTCACTCGCAATCATTATTTCTGAAGCGAACGGCTTCAAGTGTAGCTGCTACTGCGGAAGCCATTCTCCTCGTATTCTGAACACCAATCATGAAAGGCACCACAAACACGAAGATTGGAAGAAAAATATCGGCTCAAGTATTAGAACAAACCCCACCAACATCCTGTACAAGATGGGCGAACATATCTTTCCAGCCAGCACCGATACTGTTGGCACTTCTCCGTGTGAAAGTTTCAGGTTCTCTGTTACACGATCTAGATTCCTGCAGGATTACTTTTATCCCTGCATGAATCCCGCCAGCTCAGCCGGTCAGAGCGTTTTGACTCGAAAAGCCTCCACCACGGCAGCCTCGGAAGTGCCGCTGATTCAACACTGGCTGCTTACTCGAACCCCTCCAACCAACCGAACCACGCCTCAACCACATGTCCACGAACAGCTTCTTGAGCGATATTTTAAGATGCGGTATCGCCAGGAAAAAAGAAAGAAAACTTTCAAGTTTCATTGACGGGCAGGACTGGGTGGTTAAGAGCTGCACGGTGCTTCTCAATTAGGACCGAATCACGTACGACAGATGACGCATCCCCCTGACTGCAACATCCACAATCTATGCGATCGTCATGCAGCTCATCAAACTGTAGATGCATTTAAGCGTGCGCATTCTGCATCAGATACCCGGGCCTATAGCCGGCTTAAATCCGCGGCTTTGCACTGTCTTTGCGGAGAATGCGGGGTGCATTTAGAGGCCAGGGTCCCGAGGTCTGAAGCTTGTTTCGCTTTTTTTCCCAAGTATCCATCCCCATCCCCTTGACTTTTGGATTTTCTGGATCCTTACCAACAATGGCTCCGCAATCAAATGTCATGGCTACTGTCTTCGAAAAGACGCCCGAGGGCACCATCTATCGCTCTCCTGCCGAATATTCTATCCCAGACTTGGATATTCTGACACTCCTGTTTGGTACGCATTGACCCGGTTCCTATTAAACCCAAATTCTAACATGTCAACAGATTCTCCACACTCGTCTGCGACAGAAGAGGCACCCCTCCATGTCTCCGCTGCCAATCCAAATCATCTCGTTACGAAATCCCAAGCTCGCATCCTTACCAAGCAAACCGGCTATGCACTACGAAACCACTTCGGTATCGGCGCTTCCGGCCCCGGCAAAGACGTCGTGACTTGCATCTCCACCGGCCACCACCTTCTCCCCATGGCCTTCTACGGAGTCATTTGTGCTGGAGGTGTCTTCTCCGCCGCGAGCCCTTCAGCCACACCGGCCGACCTCGCCCGGCAGCTGCGCCAAGGCGACAGCAACCTACTTATCTGCAACGAAGACACTAAACCCATCGCCATCGCCGCTGCGAAAGACGTTGGCCTCCCCTCTGACCGCATCCTCGTGATTTCAAACGGGGGTGAATACGCCCTCAACCGAGCCTCGGACGGTAAAAATGTGATCAGCCAAGGGAGCCTGGAATGGCCGGTCATTACGAACAAGAAGGAGCTGGAAGAGAGCCTCATCATCCTGATCTACTCGTCCGGCACCACGGGCCTGCCCAAGGGCGTGAAGCTCTCCCACGCCAACGTCGTCGCCGAAGCTGCCACTGCCCTCGACCCCTGGAAGGCGTACAACGCGGAAAACAATCCAAACTTCAGGTACCGCACGCTCGCCCACCTACCAACCGCGCACATCGCCGGCATCCAGGGCTACCTGATCAATCCAATGTGAGTCCACTCTCCAGATCCTCTTGCACACACACGAACACTCGAAACTAACGAACCCACCACCCACAGCTACATGGGCGGCACCGTCTACTGGATGCCAAAGTTCGACTTCCCGCAGTTCCTGGAGTACAACAAGAAATACGCCATCACGGCCTTCTTCACCGTGCCGCCCATCTGGCTGGCCATCGCCAAGCACCCGGCCGTGACGGACCAGTTCGACACGCTCGAGCACGCCGTCAGCGGCGCCGCCCCGCTCGGCAAGGACCTGCAGCTGGCCGCCAGCAAGAAGCTCGGCCGCGGCCGCACCATGATCTTCCAGACCTGGGGCTTGAGCGAGACCACCGGCAGCATCACCCTCCTGCCCAACGGCACCCAGGACACGTCCGGCAGCGTCGCCTGCCTGATCGCCAACCACACGGCCCGCCTGGTCGACGACGAGGGCCGCGACGTCGAGCCGGGGCAGCCGGGAGAGGTGCTGGTTCGGGGTCCTGTCGTGACGAAGGGGTATCATAAGAACGACGAGGCGAATGCGGAGGCGTTTCGGGACGGGTGGTTCTGCACGGGGGATATTGCTGTGTTTAAGGACGGCAAGTTTTATATCGTGGATCGGAAGAAGGTGGGTTTGGATTTGCATTTTCCTCTCCTCTCCATTCTCCTTTTTTCTTCCTTTTTTCCTCCCCGATATTCTTCTTCTCTTTCCGTCTCACATCTCTTTCCTTCAAATTTCCCCGATTCCCATCATCGCTAACCCGTCTTCCCCCGCACAGGAACTCATCAAATACAAAGGCCTCCAAGTCGCCCCCGCCGAGCTCGAGGCCCTGCTGCTCGCCCACCCGGCCATCCTCGACGCCGCCGTCATCGGCGTGTCGGCCGAAGGCACCGAGGTTCCGCGCGCCTACGTCGTCGTCGCCCAAGGAAACCAGAAAACCCCGTCCATTTCGGCCAAGCAGATCCAGGAGTACGTCGCGCAGAACGTGTCCGACTACAAGCGCCTGCGGGGCGGCGTCACCTTCGTCGAGGCCATCCCGAAGAGCCCGTCCGGCAAGATTCTGCGCAAGGATTTGAGGGAGCTGGCGAAGAGGGAGGCGCTCGAAACGAAGGCGAAGCTTTGATTGGGGGGGGGGGGGGGGGCCGGTGGGGGGGGGGGGGGGGGGGGGCCAGTATGATGGTGGGTGCGGGTGGGGAAAGCTTGGATGCGGGTTTGTTCCGATTCAGTCGTTGGAGAGAGTGGCTGTTTTGCAATGAAGGGTGGTGCTCTTTTTCGGTTTTTTGTTTTGTACAGAGACGCTGTTACAGAGACGTTGTCAGACTCATCAGAGACTACAGGTAGAGAAGAGATGGCTGTAATGAGATACCGTCTTGTTGAAGATATTTCGAATCCTCGCGTAACAGGAGCCTACTAGCTTCGATTTACATTTGCATGTCCTTGAACTTTCACATGCTCCAGGGCGATGGAAAGGAACATAGATTTGTAGGCCATGATGCAGTCTATCAGATACATAACCAATCAGCATTCTAAAAATACGTGAGGACGAAGGGTTTTCGTTTTGAGGCATGGTTCGAAGATTCCTCCAGCAGCTTATCTTATCAGCCCGCAGCCGCGAGTCTACAAAACGTTAGCACAGCCCCACCACGGGCAAAAAAAAAACGCAAAACGTACAACAGCCGGGATTCCCCAATGGTCACCCACTTGAGTACTAATCGGCCGGTTCGCAGCTTAAGTACGGCTGAGCGGACGGGAAGCCCTGCATTCTGCGACCTATGGTCGTACGTGACAGAATAGGTTGTTAATTGCCCTTATAATCTACTCATTTTTTTGTTAGTACACATTCTCGATTGTAACTGCTGATGTCGGTCTGAACGTACCCACCAAACCACAGACCCAACTATCGATTGGAATGTGGCCCATTTAAAATATATATAGTCTTTTCATTCTATCGTCCCGTACCTCGTGTCCTTCGTCGATTCCATAGATTTGTTCTCTGCCTTTGCAGTCGCTGTTCTCCTACAGAACTCCTAACTTATTAGAACCTCGGCTAGTTCTCCCGTGCCCTGTGGGCCTGTCTCTCGTGCGGGCCTTGGTATTAGTAAATAATCCTGCAGGCGCCGTATCATCCTGCGTCCGATGTTCCCATGGGGGTCTTCTGCCCTTAGGGTCATAAAGCCCGTATGCCTACAGGTACGTAAGTTAAATCAATTATTCAAGCAAGCAATCAATTAGTCTACTAAACTGGTAACTATCTACACAACGCGCCAGTGGAGATAGAGTGGAATATATATTCCTGACAGTCTATGTCATTTTGAATACTGGGGCCGGAATTTAAAATTCCGCATCACGATAAGAGATGACTGCAGCAAGGATCACCTCCCTGATCAAGTCGCAAAGCTCATAGGTAAGCGTGATTTTCTTATAGTATAGAGGACGACCTGTCTTAGCCCGCTCGACCTGGACCCTGGATCCAGAACAATGACAGTCAGCGCAAGATTGGACCAGATGGTGACAGAAGCGCAAGTCAACTGCCCTTCAAAGCTTGAATGTAACATTCAGGATGGTAAATCAACAACGAAATCTACAGCGTCCGGTCTCTGGCTTCCCTCGACGCAGAAAGCCGTCATCACCCCGGAAATGGGCCGAACTCTCAACCTCTCAGTGCACGAAATCCCAGTCCGGCCTCCTACTTCGACGGAAGCTGTGGTCAAGATATTCTACACGGGCCTTTGCCGTAGCGTGAGTTCTGAATACCAAGCAAGCAAGTGCATAATTGACGTTGGAAAGGATGCTTGCTTCTCCATCGGACCCGAGCCCGGGTTCCCGAAACACAACCACATCGCAGGCCACGAAGGCATCGGACAAGTCATCCAGTCGCACGACCCCTCTCTCGTCGGTCGAACGGTCGGCATACGCTATCTGGGCGCGACGTGCGGCTCTTGTGCCTACTGTCTCAGCGGGCTGCCCACATCCTGCCCGGGCCAGCTCAACGCTCCGAAACACATCGCGGGCACGTTCCAGGAATACGCCACGGTGCCGACGTCGTGCCTGGTGGCACTGCCAGACGGGATTCTTCTGTCCGATCCAGCAGCCGCCTGCGGTGCCCTCTGCGCCGCGCTCTGCTCCGGATCGGCCGCGCTGACGGCGCTGCGAGCCGCTCGCGTCCATGCGGGCAGCATCGTCGTCGTTGCGGGCGTGGCCGGCGCCATCGGCCATCTGGCGGGCGCCATGGCGCGGCGCGTCTTCGGTGCCCGCGTCGTCGGCATCGATCTGGGGTGGAAGTGTGACTTGCTGCGGCAGAAACAACACCATGAACAGTACGCCGACGTCCTGCTGGATGCCGCCGCCGCCGCCGCTACCGGCCAGGAATGGTCTGATTTCGAGGCACGCCTGGTTCGGGCGTGCACGCGGCTGAGGCCGGACAAAGCGTTGGCTCGGGCGGCTGATGCTGTCGTGGTTTGTGCCAGCTCGGAATCGGCGTTTCAGAATCTGGACAAGTACGTCTGCGATGGAGGGCGAATCGTGTGCGTTGGGTGAGTAACGGTTGACTTGTTCTACCGTAACAATGCTGACTGAAAGCCCTAGGGTGCCTCGAAATCTTGTTCTCTCCATTTCGATACATGCGCTTGTGGAACGAAATCTCCACTTGACTGGGAATTTGATGGGCGACCATTGTGCGTCGCTGGAGGTCATGGGCTATATAAGCACGGGTTTGATTCAACCGCTAATCACCAAAGTAACTCTCGAAGATATTCCGGATCAGATGCAGCGTATGGTCGACTGCAAATCTATCGGCAAGATCGTGGCTCGAATCGGAGGCTGATCGGGGCGGTGCCACGGAGAACCTCTTGAAAATGTGGTTGATTAAGTAATAGGAAACTTGAAATTATACAATATCGTCATTCATGCAGTCCCACTGGAATTCGTCAAGGAAAGAGAAATCAAGCTGATCAAAGTCTGGAGCAGGCATCAGGTGAAGCATGTCGGTGCCATCGGCCAGGAAACTGCGGTTGAATTCAGCTCTCGTGGCCGAAGATTCCGCTTCCGCCAGATGATTATTTGATGCGTCATACTGCTGAGAAGCTCCGTGTCGTATCCCGTTGGCTTCCCCTCCCCCCACAGCACATGTTTCTTCGCCTCGAACACTTCGATATCCATCCAAAGACTGGAACCGGTCTTGCAAAACCTTTCTGAGCGTTTCCCAAAATCCTCGGGCTGGTGTCCACGAGTCAGAGAGCTCTCGAAGGGTTGACATACAGGATCTTAGATCCCTAGATATGTCGTTGGTCCTATCAATTTTCTCTGAGCATCCCAGGAAGAGTCTCACAAGAACAGCCGTCAGGGTGCAATGCGTCGCTGTCAAAGGGCTGCGTCGAAAGCTTCCGAAAGCCTCACGATATCGCTCCCCGAGAAGGCAGATGTTCGTTGCCGCTTCGTGACATAAAGAGGAGGCTCGTTCTCTCAAGTCGCTGTACGATGCGTCTTGGGCTTCCAGCCCATGTGAGAAATCATTACGCCTTCGAGGTAGGAATGGCTTCGCTAGCAAGATAATAGACGTATAGTAGACCATGTTTAGAATGTAGGCATGGGGCGAAGCATTGACTTGCTCGGGCCTGTCGCTCAGCTTGACCTTGAGCTCTTTCGGCAGGGAAAAGAACCACCCTCTCAGCGAAAGAACACAAGAGTCGAAGAACATGCGTTTCTCTGCGTCCAGCGTCGCTCTTCTCGGAGTGTACCTTGGATAAGAGAGTAAGCATTTCAAGTGATTCAATCAGATGTGAATGCCTCACAGGGTAGTCAGAATTTCCTCCAAAATTCGACACTGCGTGCTCAACTCTCGTAAGAGTGATTCTAGGAAGACGGTTCTGGAGCCTTCCATGGGATTCGGTCTCGAAGAAAAGCCGGTAGGTAGAGGTACAGATCCTTGAAAATCCTGTATCAAAGTTCTTGTTAGAGGTATCGGGCTCGATTCTCAAAGAGTGCTGACTGGTGGTGTTACCAGCATAGTGCACACTCGGCCCGTGTAGCTGGCCCACAGCTTATCGGAACAGTACAAGGTCCAGTAGATCTGACGTCGAAGGCGAATCTCTTCTGGGGTTAGATGACTGGAGCCGATCACGACGGTAGAGTCCATGTTCAACCCCATGTCGAGCATCAACCGAATTGCCATACCATGATGGAGCCAGCCGGAAGCATCGGATCCAATAGCCTGGGACATTAGTCAGAGGTGGTAGACCTATTACAGCATCGAAGACTTACGACGTATACAATGGCCATGATGGCAAGCGACTGTATCGTGGTAATGCTGGGCCATTTGAGGTCGAAATGCAACAGTGTTTCGGCATGTTCGAGAAAGACCAAACCGGCCGTATTGGCATCTTTCAAATCGCTTCTGACTTCAGGTCTGTCTGACCATCTCGAAGCAATTGCAAGAATGCAATAGAGAAGCAAGGGGCTGAAGTAGCGTCCATTGCCTTGCTTGCTATTCCGGAATAGTGCCTCGTCTACTACCTGAAACCATGGCTGCTCCCATTCAAAGTATACATCGATGAGATGATCCACAAGCTCTGGTGAGAAGTCTCGCAGAGTATTCGACGCGAGTTTCTGACAATAATCATTGAAGCGCTGCTGCTGACTTTGATCTTCGACAGCAGAATCAAGGCCGCCATCATTTTCCTTGCCTAGTACTGCTGGTGCATCCTTTGGAGGCTGCAACTCCAAGCGTCCACTTGTCGGGCCGAAGAACTGCGCTTCGCTGCCGCCGCGGCTAAGGCTGCTCGATGCATCTTCTGGATACAGGGTACCTTTCAAGTCGGCACAGCTGTCGCTGAAAACCAGGGACATGTTTTCGGCTGCGAAAGAGACATTTCCTTTGGGTTCCTGCGCGCGAGCGAGCCGAGCAACAGACTCTTCGAGATCGATTGAGTGCAGCTGGATCACCTGCTCGAGGAGTTTCACTCGGTTTTGAAGAAGGGAAACGTATGACCTTGGGGCCGAGCCACGTTGATCGGCCTCGACGGTGAAGACACACGTTAGGTGGCGATCCAGACATCGAGAACACGATGGTTTTTCCCCATTGCACTACCATCCTTTAAGTTCGAACTCTTCAGCAGCCTCTGGAAACGGACTCATACCTTTGCTCGTCGGCGACGGCACTCTTGACAAGCACGAGTTGTGTATTGACTTCGAGTGGCCCCACGCTTACGCCGGGCACGGCCTGCATTATTGGACGGGCTGTTCATGGTAGATTCGCGCAAGGATTAACGGCTGAAAATAGTATTCTTCCTTTCCCACGTTTCAAAATTGTAGTAAGATGCAGAGCATCGAAAACTTTTTTAACGTAAGTTGAGGGGCAAATTTCGGGTTGGTATTTGTGAGGTGTTGGGGGTTTGCCGAAGGCGCGGTTTTAGTGGCGGAATGCAAATTCCGCTCTCAGAGGCCGGCCTTAAAGTTTGCTAGATAATCTCTTGATCTTCTACAGGCCAGTTTCGAGCAATGACGTATCTCGCATTCATGCTGAAGTCCCTAATTACTAATTGTGGGAGTCATTTAAAGGTCAAGGCCGCCCTCTTGGTTTGATGGAGCACCTGTCCTGTCGACCACTTTCAGCCCGAGCGGACTGTCATACTTTGCATCATCCAATCATTTCCACGACTCGAATTGCGTCGCACCGCTGGATATGTCTCACTTGAAGTACTATGCCTATGAGGGCCAGGGTGTGGAAAAGAGAGAAAAGTTTTCCTACAATCAAGCCGTGCGTGTCGGAGACAGGATCGAGTGCTCAGGTCAAGGTAAGTTCTATTATCTTTCGAGTCACCGCTCAAATTTCGTCGACTAATCATCTTCAGGCGGATGGGATCCGAAGACCAGTGTATTTGAGAAGGAAATAAATGCTCAGATCGATCTCGCCTTCGCCAACGTCGAGCTATGCCTGCAGGATGCGGGCGGTAAGGGCTGGTCGCAAGTTTATCGCGTCAACTCCTACCATGTGCCAATCAACAACGAGGCGCTGGCCGCAATGGTGCGAAACTTCAAGAAATACATGCCGGATCACCAGCCTCTATGGACCTGCGTCGGAGTCACCCGCCTGGGAGAAGACGACATGCGTGTGGAGATTGAAGTTGTGGCACACGACCCCGAAGGGGCAAAGAAAGCGTAGGAGGGCTATGAGAGACCAGGCTATCATGTAGTCACACAATTACATCGTGCATCCATTTTCATTGAGACTCGAACGCTACTATTCTTTAACAATGATCAAATTCGGTCTACGGGAGTGCTAGAAAGCTACGCGCAGTCATGTATCTGGATCTGGGGCCGTGGAAAATACATGATTTTCCCCGGTTAGAACGCTTCTGACCACTCACAGCCACGGCTTCTGCAAAACCGCTTGCTGAGGGACTAGAGCTCTACACGGGACGAGGCATATCCACTAGTCCGGCTTAAGCGCCAAACTCTACGGTACCTCAAAAGGATCTGCTCACGAGAGACCGAGTGGGTGCTGGTACATTGAAGGCCTGTTATTAGCACGACATTAACAAATTGGACCAAAACCAACGCTATCTTCTATAGCAGCGGCGGAATTCGTATTCCACTCTTATCTTTCGTAAGTGTCATATCTACGGGATTGAGGCCCTTTGATTATAGCATAAGAAGTCATGAGAAGAGGGAGAGGAAGGTAGATTCCGCCTTCCAATGGTTCGCTCGGCTCTAGAACTATACCGTGGACCGTGCATGTACCAGTAAAATCTGTTTCTCTTTGTCCCCACGCACTTGGCTTATCTTATCTTCTCCGGCTCTGTTGTCCGCGTTTTCTCGGAGCTGTGCAAACGCGTAAAACTATAAACTGAACGTTGATAAGGCGCTGTATTCATCACTGATTTACTAATGCAGATAAGGCAGGACAGAAATGGCTTTAAACCAAGTGGGAGGAACTTGATTGTAAGCATCGCTCTGAGATATTTACTCTCGGTGTTTAACTTAAGCAGCTCCAATAATTTCTCAAAAACGCCTTCATCAAAGATGGTCTCCTTCAGGCAGTTTGTTAGCCTTGGTGTGGTATTCACATCAGGCATGACCTCTGGACATCCCGCTGTTGGGCAGTCAGCTAACTGTATTAGCCACGCTTATCGGTTACGATTCGGGATACTTAAACGGAGTGCTCGCATCCGACGAATTCATTCACCGATACGGGGTCAGCGATGACAATGGAGCTACCTGGTATCTTAAGGCTCACACTCGATCTCTATTCACCTCAATGTTCGTCCCAGGAACAATCATAGGGTGTCTACTCGCGTCTGCCATACCAGACAGAGGTATGTGTGGTTGTGCTATTGCAACGGGGAACCGTCCGGCTAACATGTTGGAAAGTGGGCCGCAAAGGAACCTTTCTGCTCGCCGCAATCGCATGTGGAGTCGGAGTTGCGGTTCAAGCTGCTGGTCCTCCCGCGGTAGTCTTCGTCATCGCCCGTCTTGTGCACGGCATAGGCCTCGGACTGATATCGATCGTGGTAAGCAGATGGTTTTACCAGGCATCCATTACCATTACGTTAATTGTCTACAGACTCCGGTCTACCTTGTCGAAGCCTCGTCGGGGACAACGAGGGGTAGGATGATCGCTATATACTTACAGCTACTGACGTGTGGCAATGTATTGGCATGTGCTATCAGCCTTGCCACCTCCAAATTAGAAGGGAGCAAGAGTTGGCGTAAGCTTTCTGCATTACCATCTTTGTCAAGGTTTTAATTCGTGGCACAGGAATCACGGTCGCAACTCAACTCGCTCTCGTCCTTGTCGTCGTCGCGGGCGCAGTCATCGCACCCGAGTCTCCCACAATCCTGCTGAGAAGGGGCAAAGTCAACGAGACCGAGCAGTCGATCATCACCCTCAGAAACCTACAGCCCGGATCGATCGAGCTCGACACAGCAATGCAGGAGATTCGGAACTGGTTAGCTGAACAAGCCTTGGCCGGCACGGCTAATATGGTGGAGTGCTTCCGCGGTACCAATCTCCGCCGGACGCTGATCGGAATTGGAATGGCCATCATGACAATTGCCACTGGCATCACTTTTTGGTTCAGCTACGGCACGACATTCTTCGAAGCAGTCGGCCTGGATGATGCCTATCTAGTGTCGCTAGTCCTCGCCATCACTAATTGCGTATTCACCGCCCCATCGATCGTTCTGGTTGAAAAAGTCGGGAGACGGCCTTTAATGTTCATTGGCGGCGCCGTCATGGCATTTTCGGAGTTGCTGACGGCTGTCATTCACACCATTTCCCCCGGCAGCAGAACCGCTGCGAATATGCTTCTCGTTGGCTCTATCTTGTTCATTGCAGGGTACGCGTCAAGTTGGGGACCAACTGGTATGGCCGTCCATTGTAGCTGTGCGACAGTGACACTGATATAATTAGGCTGGCTTCTAATGGCGGAGCCGTACTCTGCCCGACTGCGCACGCATTCGACCACCCTCTCTATGATGGTTTATTGGATCACCACGTGGGCGGTTGGATTTGTGACGCCGTATGTCGTTGATGAGACGGCTGCGGATCTTGGCGTTAACATCGCTTACATATGGTTTTCCATAACTATTATATCGATATTTTGGGCGTTTCTTTGCGTTCCGGAACTTAGCGGTCTTTCAATCACCGAGGCAGGCTTTCTCCCGTTCATTTCCCGGTTATTTACTGACTTGCAAATAGGTGGATATGTTGTTCAATCAGAAGGTCCCAGCCTGGAGGTCGGTGTCTTGGAAGAAGAAATTGCGGACTGTCGATGGAATCGAACCTTCAAAGGAGGAGATTTCTGAGATGATTGTAACAGCAAAATCGGAAGCCTGACTTGGTTGAGACAAATCTTACGCAACTCGTCGCGCAAAGAAACAGCAGAAAAATAGCTAGCAACAGCGGATCAACTGCGCAGCTCTAAGTTGCATATGATATTGGATTAGATGAAAAATGAAAACAATGACACTTCATTGTTCGAGAAACAGACGATTCAGCAACCCCTCGATGATCTGACTAGAAATCATTGACTACCACAGACTCCTAAAATATCACCTTTATCCAAAACCGTGTTCGATCTGAACTTGGGACTGGAGCATCGTTTGCCTCGAAGTTCGAAAGTTTCCTTAGACATGTTGAACCGCCCATTCGGTCTTTGTGAGAAGTAAGGAGAATGCGGCTAAGAATCGACGGACATGTACCCCAAACATCTTCGAGCTGGTGGAAAAAGGAATAAACGGCACCTCAGCCCCAGTAGGCAAGTTGAACATCCTTCCACAACTCCCTCCACCCATCCTTATATAATCCCGATATGAACCGACACCCAGGCGCCGCCTTCTGCGTCGGTGCCTGACCAAGCAACCCAAACGCATCCCTCGCTAGCCCATCGGCCGCCGCAAAAACCGCCTCATCATCCCCCTCCTCCCCAAACGCCTCGCCAACCATAGCCTCTCCTAACACCCTCTCCAACGCCTCCCTCACCCCGCTCACCCCCGCCCCATCCCCATGCACAACCACCTTGTCCACCGGCCCCCGCTCGAACTCGGGCAAACGCCCCACAACATCCCTTACCAGCCTCTCCACGACCTCCCCCTCATCCCCTCCTCCTCCTCCTTCTCCTCTCATCACCTCCATCCCCACTTCCCGCGTCCTAAGAATGCAGTCATCCAACACCGCCGCCGTCACCACGCCCAGCCCGCCTTCTTTCTCCGCCTGATCCCCCGATTGCTGCTGCCGCGTCGCCTCCACAACCAACACGTATTGGTCCCAATTCTCCAACTCGTAATCATCCAACCGCAACGCACCCACCGCTGCAGATCCTGCGCTCGTCATGAAGTGCGGCGGCATGTCCTCAATGATGGCCAGCCAATCCTGCGCCAGGGTCAGGCCCGCGGCTTGGAGGGCGGCGAGAATGGTGCGCTCGTAGTAGCCCCCCGCGTCGGCGCCGTACTTGCGCGGGCCGCCGAGGAGGACGTGGCAGATGCGTTCGTAGCCGAGGGCGCGCTCGGCGGCGTGCTTGAGGTGGGTGAGGAGGGGTTGTAGGGCGGCGATGTCGTCGTCGGTGGGGTTGTCGTCGTGTGAGGGAGGAAGAGAGGGGGAGTTGTGGGCGAATTGGTAGGCGCGCTGCATGAAGGCCTTGTAGGCGGGGCTGCCGGCTATCTTGGCGACGTGGGTGGTGTTGCCGTTTGGGTGGTTGATGGAGACGGTGCTGAGAGGTGGTCAGTGGAATAGTAGTTCTTGTCCGTCGGAGTGGAAGGAGAATAAACACTTACCCATACTCAGCCGTCAGAAACATACCTACTCCAGGTATAGTAGCTGAGATAGGCCAAAGCGCCACACATCCCATTGGTCCAAACGAGCAGGGGAATAATGTCATTGACAAGGCAGGGATGCAGCAAAGGCTCAGCAGAACTAAAAGAGCCAACCCCAGTGGGGGTTTTGAACAACTAAGGTTTCGTCTCTTCATCTTGGTTGTTTGACGACTCCTTCAAAACCTGAAAAGTAGCGAGTTATAAAGAAAGATGGTTGACTCATTCTCTTTTCAGGACACGGTTGCTATACGGGGTGGCGCTGGAGAGTCCGAGGCTGACGCCTGAGTAAGTGGGGACTAAGATCTCAAAATTGGGTAACATCTTTTCGGTGGAGCGGACAAGATATCCTGAATTATGCGACGTATGGTGGTACGTTTTCGTCGTGATCTGGATATGATCAAGTAGTCCCGCACTGAAGCAGATCACCTTATCTACAACTTCTTCTTAACTTCCACAACCCCCATAGGCGAAACTGGGTTCGGCCAAATCTTTACCACCTCCAGCCCTCCTACCTTTCCGACCAACTCAAACCACCTCTTCGCATCCCTCTCCCCCGCGCCTATATTCATCATAGTAAAATCCGTTGCTGCACTCACCCTGTTCGGCGGATCGTCCAAAATCTGATCCATGATCAAAATCCTCGAATGCTCCGCCATGGCGTCCCTCAGCCTCTCCAAAATCCGCACGCAATACTTATCCGACCAATCATGCATGATGCGGCGCAAAAAGTAAACCAGCGCCCCTACTCCATGTCAGCAAACCATCGCGCCAGCACCACCGCTTTAGCTACTCACCCTTCACCGGCTGCTCCTCAAAATAATCCACCACCATCCTCCTCACGCCCTCCAACCCCTCCCTCTCCCCCACATCCGCAATCACCTCCGCCGTATCCTGCAACACACACCTCTCCGCCGGTATCCCCGGGCACTCCTCGCGCATCCGCTCAATCGCCTGCCCGCGCCCGCCGCCCACATCCACCACCAGCGCCGCGTCCAGAGCCACTTTCCCCGCCCGCTCGGCGATGAGTGCGAACGGATACGCGCCGTTGACGGGCAGCAGCGTGTCGAGGCTCTGCATGCTCGTGTTCATGTCGACCTGCATCGCGCCTGACGCCAGCTCCCAATAGGATTTCGCCGGCGCGCCGTGGCCCCACGTGAACGGGTTGTCGGATGGCTCGACGGGCGGCGTCCGGCCGTGCGAGGCGGCCCAGCGGGGCCAGGCGACGGCGGAGGGCGTGATGGTGTCGTAGCTGGGATTCGTTAGCTGGCAGTTACGGGGGGAGGGGCGGGGGGCAGGTGGTTTGGTTTACAAGATCTTGAAGTACGCGCCCTGCGGGTTGTCGTTGGTGAAGCAGCGCGATGCGGCCGTGTGCGCGATGGCGTCGGCGGCGGGTTGGGCGAGCAGCTCTGAGGCGACGAGCGGCCAGCAGAGGCGGCGGATGAGGGAGGGGTCGGCTGAGATCTTGGTGGCCAGCTCGGCGTATGTGATGCTGCCGGCGGAAGGGATGTGCTCCAGCGCGCGCCACTCCATCAGGATGCGGAGGGTCGCGAGCTCTGCCATCTGCGGGGTTGTTTGTTTAGTTGGGGTGCTGCAATGTGGGTGGAGGCGTCGAACGTACTTGTGCAACATATTCGAATGGACGCTCTCCCGGCTCCTCGGCCTCGGTGATGATGTTCTTTGCCAGTTGCGTCACGAGTCTGCGTTTGAGTACGGCTTCCGTGCTTGATGGAGGAGCGTCTTTGAATGCGCGGATCGCCGAGGTGAGATCGCCCGCTAGGTTCTCGAGATCTACTTGGTTTGATGAAGGCGAGCTCATGATGGAAATACCAGGATCTGGAAGGGTTGTGGGCCAGCTTCGTCTCTTGGATGGCAATGCAGTTTTTTATATCCGTTCCCCGCCCCCACCTCAAAGCATACTGTAGAAGCGATCGACGATCAGTTAATTGCCGTTGTCGAACGACTGCTAACACGATTGATGTAATGTGCTGAAGATCGGTACTAACAAGGGTGGGTAACAGGTTAGAACCTGCCCTAAAACACCCTGTGCTCCGTGCTGTATGATAAGTGGCACAATTGGCCGCAGCCAAGTTGTGTCCTTTATTAGTGCAGTCCAACGCGCGGACAGACGTGCCTTCAATGGAAGGGATAGCGCAGCAACATCATAATGTTTCTTGTTTATCATGGTGATAATACCGGCAATGTATCATACGCAGACCTCTTTTGCTCAGATGGGTAGATAGGAAGAGTCGAGGAGAGGAGCACAGCTCCGGCGGGGCCAGCCACGGCCTGAGTGGCCTGTGTTGTGAGGGGTAAAACACTGCAGCAAGAGGCTCACCTGCGAATCTCCACCGCAGAGGTCAATCGCTCTGCAAGCGAGGTCTTCGGAAGCGTCTCTTTTGCTTTTAGCAGGATCATTGTTAACCGAGACGCGATCCACTTTGATGTCTATCGTGTCGCCATTTCATTCGCCGACGCAGGAAGCAGCAATACAACGCATTGCCTCGTAAAACCCCCAAGGGCACATGATGATCATCTGTGAAGTTTTTTTCTTCTTCAGCCATCTCCTTGAAAATTCATCCAATACTCGTGAGAATGTGTCAATATCGCTACGATCCGTTCTCTCAGAACGGTTGCGCCATTCGTGTGCTCCAACTACTACCAAGTAGGGACAAATCCAGCATCCTACGAGGCACAGTCATTGAGTATCTCTTTGAAGATCTCGATGCGACAAATCATGTGTCTGAGATATACGAGGCACTCTCGTATGTCTGGGGTGGCGAAACGAAGCCCAAGTCAATCATCATCACAGAGAGTCAGAATGACGGGAATAAGGAAGTGGGTTCAGAGCTCTCAATCACGCAAAACCTTCACGACGCGCTCTTGCATCTCCGGCATTGGCGATTCCCTCGAATTCTCTGGGTGGATGCTGTCTGTATTGATCAGACAAACAATGAAGAGAAAGGACATCAAATTGAATTGATGCCAGTCATTTATGCCAGAGCAAAATGCGTGCTTGTTTGGCTCGGAGAAGCTCAAGACGATAGCGATATGGTGCTCGAATCAATCCAAGCTGCCTCGCGCTCATTTCTCCAACCTCATTGCGACCACACACCATCGACTCAATCTGTGTGTGACTCACGACAAGCCATTCAAAAGCTTCTAAGCCGACCATGGTTTAGTCGTATGTGGGTATGAGAGAAAATGGCAAACTGGTATCGACAAGCAATTGATTCTTGAGCAGATTCTACAAGAAATCGGTGCTGCCCGACACGTAGCAATCCTATGTGGCTCAACTGAGATTGAGGGACATGCCTTCTCGTTGGGCTTGGATTCCTTGATGAAAACCTGGGATACACCTTTGTGTTCGGTCACTTTCCTGATGAGAGGTGCAGTCTTTCGACCAAGACAATTGTCCAGGAAGCAAGCGAGATTTTCGCTGGATATTTGCTCACTGAGCGAATTGGTCGACCAATACCATATCCACGAGACCACGATACGACACGACAAAGTTTACGCCTTACTCGGTATGAGCTCGGATGACACCAGTGCAGCTGGGTTGGAGCCTGACTACAAGCTCGCATGGGAGGAGCTTATGCAGCGTCTTGTCAAGTTTCTACTCGGCAGTCGGGTCACTGTTAGTATTGCAGAGAATGCAGAAGTCGCAGTCATTAAAGGCAAAGGCTGCGTTCTTGGGGTGGTGTCTTCGATCAATGCTATACAAGGTTGGAAAACTGAGGTCAACATCATTACCAGCGTCAGCCGAGACATCCCACGAGAGTTTCATCGCCGCTTGACCAAGTGCTCTCTTCCGTCTTTGCCAAAGCCAATCGAGCCGGGAGACTTGGTATGCCTCCTTGAAGGCGCTCAGAAGCCGACTATTCTCAGACTTTATCAGAGTCACTTTGCTGTTGTCATGGTCGGAGCAGTTCCCCGGATAGAAGCACAAGAGGTACTGTCAGATCTCATGCAGGCGACAAAAAAGTTCAGTCGGGACCTTCTCCTCACCTGGGATTGGGGCAATTGCTTCGACGAATCGCAAGACGCCGCCACATACGACTTGACCCGAAGCTCAAACAAGCCAGGATTGGCAAGCCGACTCAACGATTTTACATACTTGTGGAACGTTGGGCTGACCCTGAGAGACGCGAGAGAGGACACAAAGGCAGAAGAGATATTCAACGAAGCAACGAATGGATGCAAAGCCATCCTTGAAATGATGAACCAGAACATACCTTCTGAAGACCTGAGCGGCCTGACACCATTAGCGTTCGCAGCTAAAAACGGCAACTCCGAGCTAGCAAGTATGATACTGGCGGAAGATAGGAACAGCCTGAATTTGGTAGACAGGAAAGGTCAGGTGCCGTTGTTTCATGCTGTCAAGAACGGGCACGCAACCTTGGTGAAACTCTTATTAGAGTCAGGCCACCCCAAGATCAACGCGACAGACTCTAGAGAGCAGACTCCGTTGTCATGGGCCGCTGCAAATGGGCACGAGGATGTAGTAAAGCTACTACTCAAGACAGATCAGACCAACGTTAACGCGAAGGATGTTTCAGGACAAACTCCGTTATCAAAGGCCGCTAAAAACGGACACGAGGGAGTAGTCAAGCTGCTACTGGAAGTGGATCAGATCCACGTTAATACAAGAAGCGATCTGGGTCGGACTCCGTTACTCGAGGCCGCTACAAGGGGATGGGATGGTGTAGTAAAGCTGCTGCTTAAGGCGGACGAGATCGACGTTAACGCGAAGGATATAACCTGTCGAACTCCCTTATTAAAGGCTGTTCTAAATGGACACGAGGCTGTAGTCAAGAGACTTCTTGATAACAAAGCTGATGCGAACTTAGGGACTCGGAGTGGCAGGACGCCGCTATCATTTGCTGTAGATAAAGGACACGAAGCCATCATCGCACTCCTTCGCAGCGAAAGTGTTGGCGGTGGTTCGAGTGAGTCTAAGGAAGGCACATAATAAGTAATGATTGGGCAATTTATATAATACTACTGTACTTTCTTTTCTGAAGTTAATCTGCCGCTACTGGATTATGAAATCGTCTTACAGATTTATGGATCCGGTGTCTCAAATCTCAAATATGATAGATTAGCCAGCGGTACCTGACTCAGATTATCGATTAACCTTCACAAATACCGAAACACAGCGAAGACGCTCGACCACTTTTCCAAGCGAGCGAACAGTAACGCGTGCTTTCCACGACGTATGGTCGAACGTAAGAGACGAATTTACAGATTACATTGAAGAGTCTTAACAACAAATGACCATTTAATTACCGCTAGTAGTTAGACGTGTTGCGGTTAAAGATAATGGTAAAGCGAAACGTAGCTGTGATATTCATGGTGAATAGAGGCCGAAGGTGCGGAATTCCTGGCTTATCACCATAAATAGATCGATCTGTCGTTCACGCATCCGGGGTTCCTGTTGAGAATAATTTTAAAGAGTGTCTTATAGCGACTATGGGTCTTCGAGGTATTAAAGCAAGATAGATTTTCATCATGAATCCAAAACCACTGTCCCTTGTTTGCTACATTAAGAATCTGGGCTAACAAATCCGTATACGCCTGGTCGTGTCGTAGCACTGTACTGCACTCGTGTATTCCCAATTTCCGATGGTCTCCATGGGTTCCGTAAGTCGTCAGCCACTGCATCTCCGATGAAGGTTGTTTGTGAGCTCTTGATAATCTCACCAATATTGGCCAATCTAAATGGAGGCAGATTCAAGTTATGATGAGCTCGAGAGTTCCAAAATGCCAGTACCAAGGTCGTGGTCATTATTATTGCCGGTGGAATAAGTAGTACAAAAGTCCTTTTCTCGTCCAGCCGGGCCGAGAACTGCTTGCAAAAGATTTCGACTTCTTCGAAGCACCAATCGTCCGCTACTCCAAGAAGAACAGCTCCCGTAGTAACGTGGAAAAAATTCTCCAGTGCTGAAAGAGTCCATTTGGGGCTCATGTGGAAGTTGTATGCCGTGGAAATCGTCGGAAGTGCCGTAGTCTCCGATTAAAGAAACATAGGTTGCGCTCCAAAGGTACTGATTCCGATCACCGTGGGGGCAATGCCAATCCAGGCTGCTATGTCATGAAGAGTTCCCCCACCCTCTGGTGGTGGGACTAGTTTCTCAAGTGATGACACCGTAACTCTGTTGTCACCGCCAGCCCCAGAGATAGCCACGCCGTCAAAGAGGTCCACTCTGATTTGGCATGCAACTGCCGAGATGCCTTCCAAGGTCCCGTGTCCTTTCATTTTTTGGGTGAAGTTGGTGTATTGACCTCCCTCAATTGTCCCATTCATAACGGCAAAAATGAGTGTTACTATGCTGCCAGCTCCACCGACATCTTGAATATCATCCACCCAAGTTGTCAAAACAGGTTGCACTCTGATCTTGATTTTCCCCCTCTCTTTCGTAGTACCATTTCCATAAGCCCATACATGGAAATGGTAACCGTCGTCGCTTACGTCATGAACGTCTACGGCATGGCCGGAGCAGTTCATATCAATCGATGCTCTAACGGTGTTGACGGAAAAGTTGCCAACGCGAGACAAGTTGTATCGGTCCAAGATAAAGCTACGAAGTTCGGGTAGAGGCTCCTCGGTGAGAACTTTTGACCAGGAAGAGTAATGACTGCTCGCTATGTCGATAGAGCCAGGTCGGTCATTTGGGGGGCTGGCCTGATCAAATCTGAAACCTATCCCACCCCCGACCCAGTATGCGTATTGATAAGGAGTTGAGATGTCCACTCGATTATACACATAGCCAACAAGAGTGGACCCGGTTAGAGGCGTAACCAATATCGCCGTGAGGG